TCGAAATATATGTATGGGTGATCACTCAAATTTTCCCCACTCAGGACTTCCCAATTTCCTATCTTTCGAGCGGTGCGTGCGTTCTGTTGCGCATGTTATATCTATATGCGACGCAACGCTACCTTTAACATACGTCGGCTGATCTCCATTATTTATGACCACCAGGTCCAGCATCGCTATCCATTCTGACAGATATTCTCCTTTTTGGTCACACTGTGGTGATCCCCACTGAGGAGCCTTCTTTTTTTTTTTTTTTTTTTTTTTTTTTTTTTTTTTTTTTTTTTTTTTTTTTTTTTTTTTTTTTTTTTTTTTTTTTTTTTTTTTTTTTTTTTTTTACACACGACTCGGGAAAAGACGAAGCTTATAACGCCTGTTCAGGCGCCCCGAGGCGTTTTTAGTAGGTAATTGTTAATGTTGGTCTTAAACCTCTGAAGGTCGTAACCAACTGGGAACACTTCTGATGGTAGTGTGTTCCATAGTGTCGCGGTTCTGTACAGAAAAGATTTCTGATACATAGAGGTCCTAGCTGTTGAAATGTGTACGGCAAACTGGTGTGTGCTCTCCGCTAGCCTTGTAGAACGTCCAAAGTGAGCACCAGGTGGAATAATGGAAGCAATGGCTGCAGAACACCTTCCGTGGTAATATCTGTAAAAGAGACTTAAGTCGCTAACCCTTCTACGATGGTCTAGTGTATGAAGGTTAGAGGTTAATGAGGGGTCATCAACCAGGCGCACTGCTCTTTTTTGAATGGAGTCTAGTAGGTGCAAGAAGTGCTTAGGAGCAGAACTCCAAGCATGAGAGCAATATTCCAATGCTGGACGAACTTGAGCCTTATAGAGTAACAGAAGCTGCTTTGGTGTGAACATTTTTCTGGCACGAAATAAGTAACTAAGCTTCTGGGCGGCTGATTTAGCTATGGTGGAAACATGTTCATGCCAGGTTGCATTTGAATTAATGCTGACCCCTAAAAGATGTAATTTATTAGTTGTTTTAATTGTTTGGTTATTCAATGCTAGTTGGGGTATGACGGAGGACGTCTTTCTTGTAAACATGGTTGCCTGGGTCTTGGAGGCGTTGAATTCAACCAGATTATCGGATCCCCACTTCAAAATAATTTGAAGGTCGTTGTTGATGGACTCAGCTTGCAAGAGCCTTTGGCGACTTGATTTAGATGCACTGACAGGTCTCTTGTTTGTAGTGGATGCTATGAGAGTGCTATCATCTGCGAAGCTGAGAATTTTGTTTTTGGTTGAATTTAAAAGATCATTTATGTGGATTAAGAATAGAGTTGGTGATAAAATCGATCCTTGAGGTACACCAGCGTTCAAAGAGTAAGGATCTGAAGTTGCACCGTCAACCACAACTTGAATTTGTCTCCTATGCAGAAAGCTCTCTATAAGTCCGCATAGTTTTTGGGGCAGACCGTAGGATGCCAGCTTAGATAGCAGTGCTTTGTGCCAAACCCGGTCGAAGGCCTTAGATATATCTAAAGCGACCGCTATTGATTCTCCGTGGTTCTCGATAACACTTGTCCAAATGTGTGTAACATAAGTGAGCAGGTCACCTGTTGAGCGACTGTGTCGGAAGCCGTACTGGTTGTCACTTATGAGACCATTCTGTTCTAGATATTTAACAACCTGCAAGTTAATGGCAGATTCCATTACTTTGGATAATATGGGTAGAAGGGCTATCGGGCGGTAATTTTGCGGAAGGCACTTTTTCCCTTTTTTTGGTATTGGTTGAACTCTTGCAACCTTCCATACAGATGGAAATGTCCTCTGCTCATAGCACAGCTTAAAAAGCCGACAGAGCCAAGGTGCGAGTTCGGGTGCACAGTGCTTTAATACAATTGCAGGTATCCCGTCAGGATGTTACGTGTTTGAAATTTCAGTTCGGGCATTGAAACCTGAAACTTAGAAATATTAGGAGGTACCATTTGACCTGCATCTAGCGTTGAATTCTTTGCGAATGGTGCCGCGAAGAGGTCTGCCTTCTCTTTGGAGCTGGTCGCCAATGTGCCATCATCTTTAACAAGTGGTGGGAAGGTGGTATGGCAAAAATTGTTGTTGATAGCCTTAGCTAGTGACCAGAATGGACGCGAACCACTAGGACATTCTAAAAGCTTATTTGTTACCTTATTGTTAAATGCTTGTTTTGCTTGTTGGATAATCAGATTGCACTTATTTCTAAGTTGCATATATGTTTGTCGCGTTTCTTCCGACGGATTTGAGCACCACTCTCTGAACGCTCTATTTTTGTTAACGGACGCTTGCTCGCATTCTTTGTTAAACCAGGGTGTTGTGGATGGTGGTTTTTTGCGATTATGTGGAATATAGAGTTCCATACCTAGAAGGATTACCTCAGAGACAGCTTCAGCACACTGATTAACGTCTTTGTTCGCAAAGCAGGTAGCGCTCCAAGGAAACGCTGCGAAAAAGTCTCTCAGCTCATCCCACTTGGCTTTGTTGTAGTGCCAAACTAGACGACGAGCTCTGGGTTGGTCGACAGTCTCCACAATTAAGGGACATGATGCGGATAATAAGATGTGGTCTGAGTTGCCAAGTGGACTATGTGCCGTGATGTCATAGCTGTCAGGCTCTGAGGTTAGGTACAAATCTAGCGTGTTTCTGAAATCATTAGGGTTACTGGGAACTCTTGTTGGACAATCTATCAATTGAGATAGATTGCAGCTGATTGCAAAGGCTTCGGCTTGTCTTCCGGCCTCGTCCGTTTTGTTGGAGTGTGTTAGCCAACCGGAATTATGAGCATTGAAATCGCCAAGAATGATAATTTCAGATGATGGATAGTTGATCTGGATCCAGTCGACTTTCTCTGATAAGTGTTGAAACAGCTGATGAGGTTGGTTGTCGTTAGGAGAGCGATACAGGGAGCATATAAATCGCGTTTTCTTGTGGATAATAGTTTTAAGCCACATTACGTCAAGGCTGTCAACCTCCATGGATTCTTCACGTTGACAGGCAACGTCAGATCTGACGTAGACGCAAACGCCTCCCTTGAACCTAAACCTAGAATGCAAATCATACCCAGGACATAGCAGGTATGTGCTGTCAGCTGATGGACTTATTTGAGTTTCACTTAAAGCTAAAATATGGGGCTTGACTGATTGTAGATGTTGATGGACGCAATTAACGTTAATGTTATTATGTCCGAGCCCTCGAATGTTGCAAAACTCAATATTGAGCTTTTTATTGTTGACTTGATTGGTAATGTCATAATTGGTGTTGGTGTCATAATTGGTGTTGGTGTCTTGATTGGATGAGCCGTTGGTGGCATGATTAGAGGAGCTTGAATCTCCATGTTGTATCCCCTGGGATAGTCCCCCCCGGAGATCCGATTGGGGAACGAGTTTACCTCCGGAATATTTTACCCCAGTAGACGACATCATGGTTTTTTATTTGAAAATAATAATGCCACATATTAGAAAATGTCATTATTGGCTTATCACCCCTTGTGGAGATCGTTAATTGGTTCTTCCTCTTAATGAGGTCGTCACCTCCTACCCTGGGGACCGGCCCACCAGCAAAGCTCGGAAACATGCACTAGGCATTATTAAAGAGCTCTTAAAGCTGATGTGGTGGTATCACACCGGGCGACAGGTGGGTAGGGACCTGTCTTCCACCTGTTGAAATCTCCGAGGAGTACATATTCCTCCTTTAAAGAAAGGCAGTGTTCTAAAATACTATCTATATCTTTTTTGTACCTCTCCTTGGTGTCATTAGGTGACAGGTATACACATACTAAATTCAACTTCCCCAAATTAACACTCACAAAACCTTCTCCCTCAACTATATTACCTATTTCAATTTTTCGATTATTAAACAGCACTGCAACATTCGTTCTTCGGTCCTTGATCCAATTCCCCCCCTTTGTTATTTTAATGTTGGGCTCGCCTACCACTAAGATGTCTATATTTTTGTCCATTAGGGTCGTATATACAACATCATGCGCGGCCCTTCTTCTCCCCAGGTTCGTTTGCAGGATATTATAACTGCTTGGCATTATTATCTCCTTCGCCCTTTTCATTTCCCTCCGATACGGGCTTCGTGCCTCTGACTTGGCTACCGCTTCTCATAGCTTCACTTCTCGAATATCTCCTGGAAGACCTCCTTCTCCTCTCTTTTTTCACCAACTTCCTATATGCCGGACAGGCAAGCTGATCCGCTCTATGTCTCGGTACCATGCACGCCAGGCAGTACTCCCTTTCGTTGCAGTCTTGCGCTGCGTGACCCTCCTTATTACATTTAAAGCAAGCGTACAATTCTCACTTTTATGCTTGTACTGCAAACATCTAAAGCATCTGGTCAGGGGGACCCATTCTATAACTCTACACTGGGGCCACCCTATTTTTATCCTCCCATTCTCCAGCATGCTTTCCGCTATTTGCCTACTTGTCCTTACGGTCGCTACTTGGTTCCCATCTCCTCTCGTTCTGAGTGAAGAAATTTCAACTTCGCCCTCTCCTATCTTCCTTCTTATTGCTTCTCTTATCCTCTCCATATCTATATCCGGCGTTATATCCAGAATGTGCAGTGTCTTCAGGTCTCTCTTGTGTATCACTTTTATCTTCCCAATATTACTTTCTAAGCTTTGCTTCAATTTTCCCACATCGTTTCCTTTCTTCATCTCAATCAATAAATCCCCTCCTAGCGTCTTTTTAACTTTTTCTACCTGCACTCCTAGCTCACCAATGTTTACCTTATCCTTAATATCTTTCAGCGTTTCAGCATAACTCTTGCCCTCTGCCTTAAGAATCAATTTATCATTTACCTCCCTCATTTTCATCTTCTGTGCTTTTTCACCTTTCCGCTCCGTCGCTTGCAGTAATGTCTTCCTTCCACTGTTTCGAAACACTATCTCGCACTGCTTTCTTAAGCATTCGATGGATATATCTCCTGTGGTTATAACTTTAAGGTCAGTCCCCATGTCCTCCTCCTCGGCAGCCGATTTTATTCCTTTTATTGTCTTCAGAGTGCTTTCACCTCTTCATATTGCGCAACTAGAAATTTTCTCGTGTTCGTTATCGTTTTCCCTTTACCAAATTGTGTCGTCGAACTTTCAATTATTCGTTCCACTTCCCCTTCTATGTCCTCCAAGACTCTTGATATCTGTGGGATTTTCCTCGTTATTTCCTTATCTAATGCCTTGCTCTTTCCCTCATCTATCAATAGCACTGTGTCACTGCCTACATCCTCGACCTCTTTATACTCCTTTTCCTTTTCCATAACCGTGTCCCTGTAAAAGTCCTCTGGCCATGCATATTCCATAACCTCCTTCGTAGCCTTACCTTCTTCAATGCACTTCAAAACAGAACGTCGTTATTCTCTCTGGTGTCCACATGATAACCATTTTTTGATATCCGGTATTATTTCCTTAGTTTTTTGACCGACGTCCGTTAGCTCTTCCCAACGCTCCTGCCATTTCCTTATCGATATCTCCCGTTCTTCTCTTCTGATTTGTGTGGTTATTGGTTCCATCTTTTTCCTATTGTATATATTTACCCTCTCCTCGATCATTAGGTCAATGGGCAGTATTCCCGCTATCACGTTTACGGCCTCCCCTGATATCGTCCTGTATGCACTGGTAACCTTAATTAGCATTTTTCTCTGTAGGCTTCGTAGCTTTTTTCGATATTTTTTCGTCTCCATAGCTCCACACCAAATAGGGACTCCATATAATATAATGGAGTGAAATACTGAACTTAACACGGCCCTCTTTTCGCTACTGGGTCCATTTATATTCGGCATCAACCCACACAGTGCCGAATAGGTCCTAAGCGCCTTTTCCTGCGTTCTTTCCAGGTGCAGCTTAAATGACAGTCGGTCATCAATGTAGATGCCTAGACATTTTATACCTCTTCCTGGTTGAAATCTGTGGTCCACGATCTTAAAACTTATACCCTCCCTACCCCGGCTGCCTCTAATGAGTACTGCCTCTGTTTTTTGGTGTGCAATGTTTAGATGGTTTTCTTCCATCCAATCTTTTATTCTCTCCAGCGCTTGATTTGCCTTACTCACCAGATCCGCTTTTTTCCCCGCTGTGACTACAAGACTCAAGTCGTCCGCGTATGCAACCGTCTTGCATCCTTCTGGTAATTCCATTTCTAAAACCGGGTCATACAAAAAATGCATTTACGCACGCCCGGCCTGTTGTTGGTCGGCCGGGGAGTGTGGGGCTCAGGCTTCAATACCCACTAAAAAAAACTCCTCTGCTGCTCTGCTAATGAGAGATACCTCGGACTATCACTTAAGACGTACCATCGAGGCATCTCAGCAGGTTATTCTAATCGCTCATCTCGCTCTTTTTCATTATTTGCACTATGTAATCGCTAATTATACGGCAATTTTCCTCGTTGTCTGTCATTTCCGTTATAATGTTTGTAGGGTTTAGCTCCGTTTTTAGAGATACTTGCAACCTCGTCCTTTCGTTTGTCCATCTTTCGCACTGAAACGCCATGTGTCGTGGTGTGTCTTCTTCCGCTCCACAATAGATACACTCTGATGTGTCCCTTTTCCCTATACGCTGTACATACGCTGCGAAGCATCCGTGGCCACTCATGAACTGTGTGAGGTAGAAGTTAACATTTCTGAATTTGCAACTCATCCAATTCTCGATATTCGGTATCAGTTCTTTGGTCCATTGGGCGGTACTTGTGTTGCTATCCCATTCCTCCTGCCATTTCCTGATGGTCGTTGTTCTTTCTTCTTTCTTTATTAGTCCTAAAGCTTCTTCTCTTTTTTTCCTCTCGTAAATTCTCGATCTCTCTTCCACTAACAAATCGATAGGTGGCGTTCCCGATATAATATTAGCTGCCGCTGCCGACACCGTCCGGTATGCTCCTATTACTCTGAGCAACATCTTTCTTTGGCAACTTTTTAGTATTCCCCTGTACTTTTTTTTCTTCATGGCCTCGTTCCACACTGGTGCACCGTAAAGTAAAACTGACTGCGCCGCACTGCTTAAGATCTGTCTTCTGAAACTACGTGCTCCGTCGATGTTCGGCATTAAACGTGAGATTGCAGCATTCAGTTTGTCGGCTTTTGCTACCGTCTGTTTGATATGTTTACAAAATGTGAGTTTTCCGTCGATGTGTATGCCGAGAAGTTTGCATGATCTGGCTGGCTTTATTTTCTGTTCTCCGACTCTAACTTCCATACTCTCTCTGTTCCGAGCTTCTCTGATAATGACCATTTCGGTTTTCTCCGGCGCGACCTCGAGGTGGTTTTCCTTCATCCACTCTTGTATTTCTGCGATAGCTATGTTTGCGTGTTGAACAAGCTCTTCTTTTTGATTAGCCGAAACTATCAGTGTAAGTTCGTCCGCGTATTCGACCAACCTACATCCGACGGGGATATATACCTCTAGCACTGAGTTGTACAAGACGTTCCACAGCACTGGTCCGAGGACCGAGCCCTGTGGAACCCCTTGTGTCTTTTCCATTCTAAAGGTTCCGCTTTTGATATATCTTTCGTTAAGATAATCCGACACAGGTTTATTAAGTATTCCGCGATTCCTGCTATTCTCAGTCTTCGTATAATCACGTTCCACCTAGCTCTATTAAAAGCATTCTTTACGTCGAGACACAGTAAAGCCGCCCAGGCGCATGAATCGTTTCTGATGATTTCGTTAACTGCCTCAACTGTTGACTTTCCTTGGGCGAAACCGAATTGGTTTTCCGAGATTACCGCTTTATCATTGAGCTCTTTTTGCAGCCTGTCTTTTATCAGGTGTTCATATACTTTTCCAAGTACGTCTAATAAGCAAATTGGACGATATTTTTGCTTCCCGTTCGAGTCTGATTTTTTTGGAATTAGCACGACGTTAGCTTGTTTCCATTTTGCTGGAAATCTCTGCTCGTTTAGAAGTTTATTGAAAGCTCTTAAGAATACCTCTGGAAAACTATGTACAGCGACCTTAATTGTCTCGACACTTATGCCATCCGGACCTGGTGACCGACCGTTTTTGAGCTTCGCGACTGCCCTTGCTAGTTCTTCCTTTGTGAATTGTTCTACCCCATCGATTATCTTTCCTTTCACGATCTTTCTGTCCAGACATTCTGGGAACAAGGATCTTATTGTCTGTATTTTTGCTTCCGCGGTGAGTTCGTATTGAGGGCCAACGTTTTTTAATTGCTTCATGACAATTTTGTATCCTTGTCCCCAGACGTCATTTTCGATTTCGTCTTGTATTCTTTTCCAGTGATCTGTTTTGGATTCATAAATTAGATGTTTGTACACCCGCTGCTTTGTTTTGTACTCCATTTTCCATCTGTCCTTTTCGTTTTCCCCTCTTCCTTGGATTCTCAGTCGTAGCCATTTTCTCCTGGCGAGATTACACTCTTTCCGCGCCCTTTCTATATTCAGGTTCCACCAGAACGGTTTCGATCTATCTCTCTCTTCGTTTCTACATTCGCTTAGTTCTTGTGCGTTCTTTAGTCCTTCTGTGAGCCTGTTAATGCTGCTTTGTATAGGGGGAACTGTAATTTTAAGAGCCTGTTGTAGCATATCCTTATCCAGGATCTCTCTTCGCTTGTGTTCGTAAAGGGTTTTTACATGTACTGTCCACTGTAAAGAGTATAAATCTGTGGTAGCTAAAGCTCTCCTCGTCAATAACTTTCCATGTTGAGATCTTTCTGGATAATTTTTTTGATGTTATCGTAACATCTATAAATGAGGCAGTGTTGTTCCTTACAAATGTAGGATCGTTTCCTCTGTTCTGAACTACTATATAGTAGTAGCCTCCTCTGTGACCACAATATCCTGCTGCTCCATATTTTCGGCTTCTGCTTTATCCTCCGTAGCACTTATAAGTCTACTGTATTTTCTCTCGCCTCTTCTTATCATATTTAGCGCTGTTTTATATTTGGGACATTTCAACGTGTTAGCCTTATGGCCCTTCTCGTTGCATAACGGGCATTCATCCTCGTTACTACATTCCTTTGCACTGTGGTTTTCTTTGCCGCATTTAAAACAAGCTTTTTTTCTGCTCGGTTCATTACACGTATTTGTTTCGTGCTCATACGACCAACATCTCCCACACCTTGGCACTCTTACCCTTTTTTCCACCCTACATCTCACTATTCCGATCTGCAGGACACCTTCGTTTAGTATTTTTTCAACCTCTCCCTTTGATACCCTGAGGGTAGCAGTTAGGGTCTCGTTTCCCAGCGTGCGTAGCTCACTGAGCCTACATTTTTCCTCGTTTTCCTTTCCGATTATATCCCGAATAGCCTCCATCACCTGAGTTTTTGTAGTATCTGCCGCCATACCCCGGATATATATTGCCTCCATTTTGAATGCTTCTCCTAGTCTTCTTGCCTTTAATCCCGTCGACCCGTCCTTTAGCGGGTTTTGCATCTCTTCCAAAGCTTTTATATCCTTATCCAGTGTGATGAGTAGTTCCCCGTCCCTAGTCTTCCTTATACTTCTTATGGCCTTTACTGATTCCTTCGTTGTTACTGCTGTCTTCACCTTTGACAAAATCTCCTTATAGGTCATTTCATTTCCGCTAATTACCATTCCTTATGTTGGTCTTTCTTTTACTCTATCATCTTTCCTGTCCTTATATCTGTTGGTCGTGTAAAGCTCTATTCTGGCCTTTGAGCCATAAAAGACTGTCTCTAGCATTTTCCTAAACGACTCGATCGTCATTGACAGTGTACCGCGATTTTATCTGCTTCCTCGCATTCTTCCCTCAGCATTTTTAATTTATTCCATAAGTCTTCTTTTGTGCCGTTGTATCCTATTTTAATTACCTTTTTTTTAATCGCCTCGCTTGGATGTTTAGTTTTAATTTTTACAGATTGTTCCATCACATCGAAATCTCCTGTCATGTCTACTAAATCGGGGAATTTATTTTTATAAAGTTTCTGTATGCTGCTCGCCATTTGTTTGTCGTGGGGTTCTGTTATGACCACTTTAGTCGTAGTCCGTGTCGGTAGGGTTCCCTACCAATACTTCGGTTCTTTGAAATAATTCGTCATTCCAATTCATTTCTTCGACTTGTGTATATTGATCAAAACTCTTTATTTCCTCTATGGTGTTAATCACGTTTTTTCCCTGTCTGTACCAGCTGTTTGTCTGTGTCGCGGCGTCTACCATTTTTTTCTCGTGTACAATTTCCTGATTGCTCGTTTGTGTGTCGACATCGTATGTAATCTTGTCTACATGTTCCCATTTCCTGTCCTCGATCCATTTTGTAATAGAGTCTCCTGATAAGGTATTTACGTATATCCTAAGTTTATGTTTTTGTAGCATTCACTTGCAGG